CTGCAGGAGGAAACCTGGACCCTCCGCAGCCATCTCTGCGCCTGGCATGTCCATTCTACATTAGAAAACTTTGCCACATCCCTATTCAAGACATACATGTCTGAAAGGGTCTGCCGCCTTCTGAAGCTTGGACAGAAAGAGTCAGAGGCACGGTAGGCCCACCTGGAACCAATCAAGTATCCTGGCTCCTGGAACACAGCATAAATTAATGTACTGTGATCCCTTGGCCTCTGTCCCTGCCACTTTGGATACACACTTTGGACCCTGATGAATCTGAGGCTGTATTAACAATGAGCAAGAGAAGTGATGCAGCGTATTCATTGTCCTTTAATACAAGGTCAGCGCTCATCACCGTCTATTCTCCAATTCAAATTGTCATCCCAGATTGCATTCCAATTGAAATTCATGTTATACTTGGTCCATTGTTGGGTACCTAACTGCAGTTATCTTTTGGACACTTTGACAGACTAGTTGGAAACTCATGGACTGATGGGAAGTTGGAACACTTTGAGTCCTTTGAGTCCCAAGTCTAGCTAAGAACAGCTTCCTGGAGAACCCTGGGAAAGGGGGGATGGGAAGAAAGCTACCCACAGGTTTGATACAAAGAGCAGTGGTTTGCCCAGACTAGTCGGAACAGGGAAGGATGACACAGGAAATAAGAGACATTCCAAATAGGGTGGTTGAGGACTCACCTGGCTGGATTGTGGACTGAGATGGAGCAGCTATGAAAAGAAACACAAGTCAATCACTAAGAACACAGGTGTCCCAACCATATCAAAGGTTCAGGAAACTCAGCCTATCACTTCTAGGATCATTCTTCCATGTGTATTGGGTAGACAAGCCAGGGCCCACCATGAATCTCTCCATCCTTTCAGAGTCCAACCATATGTCCCACTGGCATTGATTGCATTCCTGGACTTGAGAGATGATGATTCAGGAGGAAGAATGCCAATATCAGGAGAGGGACAGGCCAAGGAAGTCATTGAATTCACTCCACATGGCTCAGGAAGAATGAGGGTAGGGAGTTGATATAGAAAAACACTAATTACAACAACACAATTTCAATGTTGTTAGTCATTACAAGGTTTCTCAGGCTTTCTGCAGTGGGCCAGGCTCAGGCTCCACATTTACATCTGGCTGATTAGCTTTTACACACCACCAACCTGCCATTCCTTACATAGTGTTCCCTCTTCCAAAGTGCTCTTCACCACCCTCCCAAATACACAATGCGGGCTAAAATCCTGTTCCCTGAGTCGGCTGCAAGGAGGACCCAGAAGAATGCAATCATGAAGAAGCGAACGTGGTTCATTCTCCAGCCACATTCCCAATAAGTGTGCTTTGAGAAGGAAGACCAGGGAAGAGGAGTGTGCACTCAGCAGATGATACTGCTGAGAAAAAGGGGGTTCCTTGAGACAACCCACTGAATAGGGAATGGTCCATTCAACATTCCTGAGCTATTGATGCTCCAAAGTAATATCAGTCCAGGATGGAGGGGACCTGCAAGTACTCTTCACTCATTGTGGCCCTTGGGGAGCCACCTGTGCCCAGAGAAGTTTGGGAGGCACAGCATATCCGCCAGAGGCTCAGGTGGGGACTTTGGAGCAGGGAGTGCATTTGCTCTCAGTAAAAATCACCATGAGCGGGGGACCAGGGTATTTTTGAGATTCACCTGAGCAGATGACACCCGCATCCTCTGAGTGGCCACAGTTGTGTGAGTTCCAGCCATTGTGAGGGCAGCTCCACAGGTACGACTCATGGCCAGAGCAGCGAAGGTTGTCTAGGAGAATTGGCCCTGAGCCTTGACCAAAACGGGCACTTCCAGGGGCCAACGTGGCCCAGCCACAGCCCAGCTGCCTGCAGACCACGTGGGCGTCATTGGTGTCCCAGTCGTCGTCACACACGGTGCCCCAGGAGCCACGGTACAGGACCTCCACGCGGCCCTGACACTGGTCCCCTCCGCTCACCAGCCTCAGGGCCAAACCTGACTCAGTCCCTGAGGGATAAAGAACAGAAATCCTCCTCCATCTGTACCTTAAGCTCATAAGCTTAAAACATTGGGAAGACCCAGGGGCTTCATCCTGGCCTAAGGGCTCTCGGCAGGTATTGATCTTTCAACATGCCCAGATGTTAATCTTCACCACGGGTAATGGAGCAGAGATACCCCAATCGGCTCAAGGTTAAAGATGTTGCAATGGGAAAAAGCACCTCATGACATGGATGGAGGTTATGTGGTGGTCTGGCCTAATCCACACTGGGCACACCCAGTATGGAGCTCTAAAGCTACTTGTACATGTCAAGTCCTTGCCTTCATTACCAAACTATTGGCTTCAGAGGCATCCTGACTTGGTTCTGCCAAAATCCCAGGACATGGTGCACCTCGGTAGGCAAAGTGGAGGACCAGCACATAGCTCTCCTCTTCTCAGGGTTTTACCCCATGGGCCTGGGAGCCACCAGAGAAGCGTGGTCCAAGCCCTTGAGAGGCCTCCAGGGCTTACCCTGAGCCCCTGGGGAGGACCTTTCCTGAAGATATTCCAATGGAGTCAGCAGGACAACCTCTAAGATCAGGCCCAGGATCTGATCTTCAGTGTTTTCCTTATCCCCCAGCTGTACACACACACACACACACACA